GGTTTAGGAAGTTACCACCGAACCTGCTCTATAATACCCTCAGAATATTCCGTCTTAGTCTTCCTTCAGGTCACTCTTCCTCGTTAGCTTCATCAGCACCACACTTTTAATGATATTAGTCCATGTTTCTGAATAAAACATTATACAGACGCTATTATCATCGTGGCCGTGTCTTTTTTTCAACTCTGTTTGGTCACACACGTAATTTCTCCTCAGATCCGCATCTTACATTAGCAAGCACGTAATGATGATTGATGTATTGTAGCTTAGAATGGATTTAGAAATATTGTAGCAGGCATAATATGAGAATCATGACACCTGCTTACATTATTTATTTTTTGTTTATTTACTAGTCTACGCCTTTTATTATCAGCCAACCAGTGAGAATTAAGTCGTTTCCGGATAAGATAGTGAAAAGTTTTCACACGGTATGCGAAAATACAAATATCCTCACGTTATATAAAGCATACATTTAATAATGAGAAAAAACAGGGATTCTTTTTAACAGAAAAAAATTATGAATTAACAATGAAAATAAATAAAGGGCCAAGCTTGAAGACGATCTATTGCTGAGGTTGGGGACTACTTGACTTGGCTTATCTTGACTTGGCAAGTAGCTGTAGTGCTATCTAGAGCTTGCAATAGACAGGCTTGTAGTAAAAAGAGCTTGAATGGAAGATGCATGTTGGGCTAATCATAATTCAGATTATGTTTAGGGTTCAATGCACAGTCCTTCCTTCCCCTCGACTAAATCAGGTTTCGGAACGGAATTCATGTGGCTCTGGTCCACGCCACCCAATGTCCAGCAACATATGCAACGTCAGTTCAGAGCTGGTTCAATAGATCAGGTCACTAAGATAAATTCTAGTTTATGTGCGCATGCACAAAAATGGCAAGTGGAAGTAATAGGCTTGAGTGTCCAATTGAAAATGTACAGGGGCAAAAAATCTTAGAAGGCGAGACAGAAGATTAGAAAACAGATCGAAATTTCTGCATGTATGTCTTTTTCTCTGTTCGTCAAAACAAAACGTGTAAATTGAAACTTATTAACAACGCAGGTCACGAGAAAAGACGAGAGCTACTTGAATCCAATTCGCAGTTGCTTATCCTTGTTTGAATCGTCCGTGATTTTATGAAGTGCAATTTGCAACGCTAAGCCCCAAATAGTCCGGTTCCCAGACCTAAATATTTCTGACGACTCTTGGGTGCATGCAGTCTACCAGTAATTATTCAAATGACAATTTCTGCCCAGCTTACTGTTCCAATGCCCAGTTTCTTTTGAACGAAAGAGATTGTAAATCTTTGTTAGGATCAACTCTCTAGTTCTTTGGTGTTCCATCTGAAAGCAGAATAGATAACAAACATGGCTGAGAAATGGTGAAAAGTCCCAAGAAAATAAAGGGATACCATTTCAAAAATGGCTGCATGCACGAAGGCTTACTTCGGAACTTTTACTCTACTTGTTTGGGTGGCGGGTTCGTTTTTTGTGAGTAATTAAAATGGCTAACCAACAAAATATTGAAAAAAAAAATGGAAAGATGAAGGAAAAAATTATAATTTAACTTTTGTTTGAGAAACCCCAGGTACATTGGCTTGCATTTTATTGAGCCCCAAACATTGCTGATTTTACGATGGGGCTCAAATTGGTAGAGTGCATTCTCTTGCTCTTTTTATTAAAAACAAGAACCGTCAAGAATGTTTAGGTCTGGGAACCAGACAGCTGGGGCTAAGTGAATTGTTCAATGGCTTAAGTGAGCGCCAACTTGTCTACATTTTATTCCGACTGCACATGCGCTTGCCCGACACATCAGACACATTCGAAATTTGCGGTTGAATCGGGTAGAACACATCCTGTCGAAAAGATCGAATGCTTTTTAATTCTGATGACATGATGTTTCGGATGAAATGTACGTGCTGAATTCAAAATTCTCGGCTGATTTTGCCGAGGAAAGTGCATTTTAATCTTGAAAAATGTTAGGACGGTTACATTTAAATAGCAGCTTGAAAGGATCTTTAATATTTTATTCGAATCTTAGAAACGAGGTAGGTCTTTGAAATTTATTCGAATCTTGCCGACTTGTTAGGTCCGTAAGACTTTAGTCTTTTTTGGGGAAAGGCACTGGACATTTCGAAATGCGCTCTGTATTAAATAACATTAGACTTAAAACACATTCGATTCTTCGAAAAATCATTCACCCCCCCCAAATATCCTGATCTATTTTAGCGTCTGTATTTTTGGGAGGGGTGTAAGAATAATAGTCCTGAAGTCAACTCACGAAGAGATCAAAGATGTAACCTGAAATCTGCACCATTGAGAGACGCAATTTCAAAACAGGAGAGGTTGTGTTTCCTATATCATGACCAAACTATTGTTATGTTGCGTTGCAGAAGGATGGAGATGAACGGCACATGTAGTCATTCCTTTGACTATATGCAGTGGGTGCGCTGGAGTCTCCTTCCAGCAGTAAGTAGTATTTACTACGTATCAAATGCACTGTGGGTATAGCATGGTAACCCAAAATTCTTTCGGCATTCTCATTGACGCTGCTCTGGCGACTGCAAGTGTGATTCGAATGACCAACTAGCCTTTGAGTCTCAGATAACCTTTTGGTTCCACATTTCAAAGGGGAATTTACTGCCTTTTTGTTTCTTATGCTGACGAAATTTCCATATTCATGAACAACCCTGTGATGTAATGACGTCTCTTCAGATTCAATACCAGTCCTCACTGTACGTTGTTCTAAAAAAAAATCAATTGCAAAAAAGTATTTATATTTACTCGATTGACAATATGAACATCTAACTAAAGAAGTACGATGCAATAACAATGGACGCTCATCGTTAATGCACCTTGTTTCTTTTGTTAGATGTTCGTAGTGTGAACGTTTCCTTTAATTAAATGTATACCCAAAGTCATGTATTTACACTATTGTATTGGCTTGGTGTAAAGTTTGTTGAGTTATAAAGAAATAATTCGGTTTTTTTTTATAAATTTGAACATTTGCTGGCAACTGTCAAAAGTTTTCATCTCAACTCCACCGAATTACAATAAGCATTTGCAGGTTTAAAAATAGAAGGGGAAGCCCAAGGTCCTGCCCCAAGCGTATCTTATGCTACTCAGTGGTGGAATTCCAATTTTTTGTTTCTAGTGCGTGATCATCACTATGTTCTGCTTCTTGGAGCGACGAGTAAATTTGTGGCCGACATGTTGCCATGGTCGGCCCGGTGTTGCATTGTAAGTACACACGCACACACACAGAATAATTACCAGAAGTGGCTGACACAAACTTCGGGCACCGTATGGCTACTTCAGTAACAGGCCAGGCTCTTCGCTACCCTCCTTTACACACGCTTATATGACAGCAGCAATCCCTCTTTTTCAAAACATAAACAAACTAATTACTTGCGTCTGCCCCCCCCCCATGAGACCCGAGCTGGATCAATAGAGGGCGCAATTGTCTTGGCAAATGAAGCTCGTTGGGGACCATTATTAATCTGCACTATTAAAATGCTCTCGTCAAAGTCGCATCGTTCTTAACCAACATCACTATGTTCAACCGATGAGGGGGCACTTGCTCTGAATGTAGACCACAGACAACAGATCCTATTTAAAACTGCAGGAGTACTCCATGGTTCGCAGGGCGCCCGACTACAATCAGACCTATGGGAAAATTCACCCCTCCATGTATGGAATTTACGCACAGTTGAATAATTCCAGCCAAAAAAATCCATGAAGCCGCTTTTGATTGTGAAAAAATTCCTCTATTTACGCCATGTAGCCTAGATTTAAACTATTTGCATCATTTGAAAAGAAGAGATGCAGTACCGGCACATCAGTGTTGTAGATTTCGACTCTTGTCGCTATTTTGATGAATCGTGACCTGACTTGTAACTATCAGTTTTTTACTTTGATTTAGCTTGGAATAGAACCTGAAAGTAAATAGTCACGCAGCGAGCTTCTGGAACCCTCGCGCGGTCCTCCTGTGGGGATTTTGCGTTGGGCCATCCTATCACGTTCGATAATTTTTGGAAGAATAATTTCTCAAACCTCCCCTTGAAACACTCATGTTGGAACTTTAACTTCCTCAAGTAATATTTAGGACAAGTCACATGGAGATCGGCAAAAAAGGATAAAGAAATATTTTGATCTGTTTTATTTCAGCCTTTACCGACAGACAACCATAAAATTTCAAACCTTGAATGTTCATCTGCGTACGAGACTGCTTCCTTGCACTGTTCTTCATGTATTTTAGATTTTCGGAAGTGATGGGTCAGTTTTTGGCAGGATATTTCTCTTTAAGGTCAGGTGATTTTTCAGTTTCTATGTTCCGGAAACCAAGAGATTAAGCAGGGGGGCAGTCAATATTTGTTTAATATATGTGTGATGTAGAAGCATTGTTAAAGCTAACAGCACAGTTGAAGCCCAAATCCAAAGTGTGCAAAACAGATCAGTGACCATTTAAGTTAGTTCCTGTTTGTGACCTGTATAAAGCCTGAAAGTTGACCCCGATGTTTTGCTTGTTACCTTTGGATAAAAAAATGACGTGCATTATTCAATTATTCCTTTAAAAAAATTTCTCGGGACCTTGTTAAATATTTGCTCGAAAATTAATTGCTAGAAACTGAGAAATGAATGGAGAAATATCCAGCCGAAATTGGACCTCTCGCTTCTGAAAATCTAAAATACATGAAGACAAGTGCAATTCGGTGGTCTCCTACTCAGATAAATAGTACTGTTACAAAATATATTTTATCAGGTAAAAGTTGAAATAAAACACATCAAAATATTCTACCCTTTGTTGACAAGAACTGCATCAGGTCAGCTCTTCGGAATCTAGAACCCATCGACTGGAGGTAGGTAAATCTTTACAACGTTGCACACCTCGTTTTCACGTAAGCACACGAAATGAAAACAGATGTGAGTGAACAAGGAGACCTAGGAACGAAAGTACCGAAGGTAAAAGGTCGCGAAGGAATTTTTTTGCTCATACTCAAGTGAGTTTTTCCAAAATATTGCTGGAGAATTCACTGAGGTAAAATTCTTACATGATTGTTTGTTGTGTTGGTTTCTGGAATCTTAGGCCTAGTGCGCGACGGTTTTGGAAGCTGCTGTGTGATGTTTACTTTCAGGCTCTTGAAATGAAGGGCTGCCAGTGTGCAGCACAAGCTACGGCATTTATGCTAAGTTGATACAAGTTTCAGCTTCCAGTAATTCTACGACACTTTACTATGAAGCCCCTTCAGAGCCATGTGAAGTTATTTTCTTACTTTGACAAGTCACTATCTGGCTATGGCAACTTGCTGAAAACATGTACCACCTTGCGAAATATATATCACCTAGTAAACCTGACAAAAATGGAACTTCATGCTCTTGCCGAACGCTTCACTTGATCAAACTTGATACAGCAGAAGGGCCTTTATGGGATAATGAGAAAGATTTTCACATTTCCACCCAACTTCGGATCCTCCACAGCCCCGTCAACCTGGTGGATAGCTACACGGATCGCTGGTCATTTGCCTTCGCCTTTGGCAGCATGGCGACTTTCGTATTTAGAGTTGGTGAACTAACGGCATCCTTTGACACTGGCCATGTAGATGTAATGTTGCAAGGTTAGAGCATTTAATGCAGATTTGTAATGATTAAATTTTTAGGTTTCATTCTGCTCTTTGGTGTTTTTGCATCAAAGATCACCCCATGATTTCAACAACAAAAATACAAAATAAAGAAATTTTCTCTTATTTACAAACGGAACATTTTCCTACACCCTACCTTACTCTAAGTCTGTCACTTTTTTCAGTACTGTAAGTGTTTGAGGTTATAAAGTATAATTTTTAACTTGATATTGACATGGAGGAATTTAGACATACAATGTTTAGTTTCTAAACTTGTTCACGGAGTAATGGAAAGTTCTAATTGCTTTGCACAATATTTAGAGAATATATCTCAATATTGTCATCATCACCATCATAACCATCATCGTAATCCTCGTCAGTCTTTATTTTCCTGAGGATAAAAAATGTCCTCCATAGATTTACTCCATAGTCCCTACGATTGAACCTAAAGACGAGACGAATTTGAGTGAAATTTAATCGATCCAGTCGATCACGATTTCACTCGAATGTCCAGTACATCACAGGAATTCCTTTCATAAG